TCAGGTCAATCTCGGGCAACCTCGGGCACTCTCGCCGCACTCTCGCAGCCACACCTCGGCAGGCAAGCGCAGCCCCGCGCCCAACTCCCTCACAAAGTCTGCCACCGTCAGCAGCGCGGCGACCGCAGGCGGGGCGAGGCAGCGCAGCGGCGGCGGGAGCTCGTCGAGCGGCGGCGGCGGCGGAAGCGACTTCTCGGGCCTGCCCAGCGCCGTGTCCAGCACGGGTGGCGGCAGTACGGAGAGGTGGGCGCCATGCGACAGGGGGGAGCGCGCGCGCACGTCGAGACGCGGTCGGCGCAAAGGTTGAGGACCGCGTCGAGGCACACCTCCAGCTTGCGGATGAGCACGGCCGGGGGCGGGTGCGTGAGCCGTCAGCGAGGGGGGAGAGTGGGGCGGGGTGCGGGTGTGGCCGGGCGGCAGGCGAGGGAGAGCGAGTAATGTGGGGCGGCGCCCCGGCGCTGCAGTGGTGCAATGCGCAGCGTCACAGTCACAGCGTGCCTGCATGAGCACCTCGGTGACGAGCGTCACGAGGTCCTGCAGCGCCTTGTCGGGGTGGCGCTCGCGCGGCTGCTGCAGGAAGCTGCCGACCGAGCGAATCACGTTGAGCACGTAGTAGCGGCTATCCAACTTGCCTGGCTGGGGCTGCCTGCGAAGCCTGTTCTGTTCACAGTCGACGCGACCTAGGAGTAGTAGCAGTAGCAGCAGTAGCAGTAGCAGTTAGCTAGTGGCAGTGCGGGCAGCAGCAGAGCAGCAGCAGTAGCAGCAGCAGTAGCAGCAGTAGCACAGCAAAGTTCAGTCGACAGAGGCGCCTAGTAGTAGCAGTAGCAGTAGTAGCGGCTATCCAACTTGCCTGGCTGGGGCCGCCCGGGCTGCACCTGTGGAGGCGTCGTCTTGGTCCACGGCTGGCCTTTTAGTCATTTATTTTTAACTATTATTATTACTATTATTGCTATTATTGAATTATTATTATTATTGTTATTATTATTATCATTATTATATTTATTATTATCATTACTATTATTACTATTACTATTATTACTATTATTATACTATTTTTTACTATTATATAACAATAATAATAATAATTCAATAATAGCAATAAAGAATAGTATAATAATAATAGTAATAGTAATAATAGTAATAGTAATAATAGTAATGATGATAATAAAGATAATAATGATAATAATAATAACAATAATAATAACAATACTAACAATGAGTACGGAGTCGTGGTGGTGGTGGTGACTGCTGCTGCTGCTGCTGCTGCTGCTGCTGCTGCTGCTGCTGCTGCTGCTGCTGCTGCTGCTGCTGCTGCTGCTGCTGCTGCTGCTGCTGCTGCTACTGCTACCTCCCCCGTTCACAGCCCTTGCTGTGAACGAGATCCCCCCACCTGCCCTTCCCCTACTGCTGCTGCTGCTACTACTACTACTGCTGCTGCTGCTACCCTCACCCCCTGTTCACAGTCCTTGCTGTGAACAGCCTGGCCTTGGCCCTTGCCCGGGCCCCGAGCCTGGAAGCTTACTGCTGCTACTACTCCAACTGCTGCTGCTGCTGCTGCTGCTGCTGCTGCTGCTGCCGCTACCACTCCTACTGCTGCTGCTGCTGCTGCTGCTGCTGCTGCTGCTGCTGCTGCTGCTGCAGCTGCTGCTGCTGCTGCTGCTGCTGCTACTGCTACCTCCCCCGTGCTGCTGCTGCTGCTGCTGCTGCTGCTGCTACTGCTACTGCTACCTCCCCCGTTCACAGCCCTTGCTGTGAACGAGATCCCCCCACCTGCCCTTCCCCTTCTGCTGCTGCTGCTACTACTACTACTGCTGCTGCTGCTACCCTCACCCCCCTGTTCACAGTCCTTGCTGTGAACGAGATCGCCCGGGGCTTTGGCCCTTGTGCCCGCCCCGAGCCTGGAAAGCCCTGCTGCTGCTACTACGACTACCTCCCCCCCCCCGCCCCGCCCCCGAGCCTCGAGAACCTCGAGAGAACCTGCTACTGCTACTGCTGCTACTACTCGAGTGGGTTGTGAGCCTTCAGGCGTGAGTGGATGGCGCTCGAGAGCGCGCCGCCTTCGCCGCCCTCGCCCTCGCCGCCCCGACGCCGCGCGCTGCGCTTGGACGGGATGCCCCGCCGCGCCCGTGCACCGCCGCACGGGACGCCTCGCCGGCAGCCTCGTCGAGGTGGCGGGCAAGCGCGTCCACGTCGAGTTCGACGACTTCTTTGAGGAGGGATCGGAGGTGACGCTGCTGCGCGATTGGGTGAAGATGGACCAGCTGCGGCCTCCGCCTCCGGCGACGCCGCCCGACTTCTTCCACGGCCTCGGAAGCGGCGACGCGCTGGAGCTGCGGCACGAGGACGGCTGGTGGGCGGTTCAGTACATGGAGCGCCGCCGCCTTTGCTCCCTCGTCGACACGCCACGGACACGTCCGCCACTGACACGTCCCTGGCACGTCCACTCTTCAGGGCTCGCGCCGCGCCGCCGGGAGGCAGGAGCACCGCGTGCGGTCGGTGCTGTACGCGGCGGAGCACTGGGTGGCCGCCTCGCAGCTGCGGCCGCTCTGGCGGCGCTGCGGCAAGGCGTGGCGCTGCGAGGCGCCATCCCGCGCGCCGCCGCCGCCGCCGAAGCGGCCAAAGCTCGACAAGCGGGGCGGAGGGGCAGGGCCGTCGGGCGGGGCAAGCGCGGCAGGCCAGGCCGGCGGGGAGGCTCTGCTGGGCACCTCCGCCGCAGCCACGGCTGCTTCAGGCCACGCCGCCAGCTCACACTCTGCCGCCATCTCGTCGGCGGCCGCGGGGACGGCGGGGACGGGCGCGCGCGCTTCGGGCGGCGCCGGGCCTGGCCGGGCGCGGCCTGGCCGCGAGGCCGGAGGCGGCGGCGGAGGTGCAGGCGGCGGCGGAGGTGGAGGCGGCGGCGGAGGTGGAGGCGGAGGTGGAGGCGGAGGTGGAGGCGGCGGCGGAGGTGGAGGCGGAGGCGGAGGCGGAGGTGGAGGCGGAGGTGGAGGTGGCGGAGGTGGCGGCGGAGGTGGAGGTGGCGGAGGTGGCGGCGGAGGTGGCGGCGGTGGCGCCTCTCCAGCCGCCGCAGCGCAGATCGAGGCGGCGGCGCCGGTGGCGGCGGCGCGGATGGACGCGCGGATGGACGTGCCGCATCCGCTCGAGGTGCCCACGGCTGGCCACCTCCGAGACACTTCCGAGACACTTCCTGGACACTTCCTATCCACTTCCTCTCCGCTGCAGGTGCCCACGGCTCTCTATGGGCTGCATCTCGGCTGGCTGTATCTCGGCTGTATCTCGGCTGTATCTCGGCTGTATCTCGGCTGTATCTCCGCTGCAGGTGCCCACGGCCGGCTCGCTGATGCGGCGGTGCGGCGCCATCCTCGAGCAGCTGAGCTAGGAACCTTCTAGGAACCTTCTAGGAACCTTCTAGGTGCGGCGCCATCCTCGAGCAGCTGAGCTAGGAACCTTCTAGGAACCTTCTAGGAACCTTCTAGGTGCGGCGCCATCCTCGAGCAGCTGAGCTCGCGCGAGGAGGAGGCTCGCTGGTTCTCGACACCGCTCGCCGCAGTGCCCGCCTCCGCCGCGGTGGTGCCGCAGCCGCTCGACTATGGCACAGTCCGCCGCCGGCTGCGCGACGGGGTGTACGGCGACGAGCCGCTCGCCTTCGCGAATGACGTGCGCCTCGTCTTCGACGCGGCGCTCGCCAACCACTACAGCGAGGCGGCGCCGCCGCGCGCCGCCGCCAAGTCCGCCTTGCTCGCCTTCGAGCGCTGCTTCGCCGCAGCGATGAGCGCACCAGTCGCCGAGACGGCGGCGGCGGCGGCGGCGGCGGCGGCGGAGGCGGCGGCGGCGGCGGACGAGGAGGGGGACGAGGAGGGCGGCGCTCCGTTGCGCAAGCTCGCCGCCTTCCTCGTCGCGTGCGGCGGGCAGGCGGGCTTGGTCGACGGCTGGACCACCACGCAAGGCAGCCGCGTGAGCGGCGTGACTGCGGGCACGTCTCCGACCTGTACTGCGGGCGACCCTTCCGGGAGCCTTCCAGGACCCTTCTGGGACCCTTCTAGGCACGTCCGACCTGTACTGCGGGCGACCCTTCCGGGAGCCTTCCAGGAGCCTTCTGGGACCCTTCTAGGCACGTCCGACCTGTACTACCTCTCGCCGCTCGGCGCGCGCTTCCGCTCACGCCGCGAGGTGGCGCGCCACTTTGCGCTCGACGATGAGGCGGGTCTCGCGGCGCTCAAGGCGGCTGCGGAGGCGCGCGTCGCATCGAGGCGGGCGGATGTCGAGGCGCGCAAGGGGAGACCACTCTCTCGGCTGTACCTCGGCGGTATCTCGGCTGTACCTCGGCGGCACCTCGGCTGCACCTCGGCGGTACCTCGGCTGCACCTCGCACGTCTCTCGGCTGTACCTC